ATTTGTTTGTTTGTTTGAGACACAGTCTCACTTTGTCACCCAGGCTGGAGTGCAGTGGTGCGACCTCAGCTCACTGCAACCTCTGCCTCCCAGGTTCAAGTGATTCTCCTGCCTCAGCCTCCTGAGTAGCTGGGATTACAGGTGCCTGCCACCTCGCCTGGCTAATTTGTTTTTTGTTTTTTGTTTTTTAAGTAGAGATGGTATTTTACCAGTTAGCCAAGCTGGTCTCGAACTCCTGACCTCAAGTAATCCGCCTGCCTCAGCCTCCCAAAGTGCTGGGATTAGGTGTAAGCCACCGTACCTGGCCTAATATATTTTTTAAAAAGACAAAATGTTTGATTCAAGTTGGCATTTTGAATAACCACACATCAAGGAAGACTGAGATTATGAAAGACAGAAAAATTATACTTGAGAAAATATCTGTAATAAGGCAATCTGCAACGAATTTTTAAGTACATTTACTAATTTCAGAGAGGTAAAGGAAGGAACTTCATCAATGAAGCAAGAATAGGGAGTTTTAAAACTGACAATTAGGAAAACCGCAATTGGAGTTTCTAGAAATGAAAAAATATAATTATTAACTAACTAACTAGACTAAAAGGTGAACAGAAGTCAGCTGAAGAATGAATCCATAAGCTGAATGATTTTACTGAGTTATTTTCCTGGAATTCAGCTTAAAGAGATAAAGAAATAAAAAGTATGAAAGAAATATTAAGACATAGAGGATAGATCCTGAAGTTAAAACTGCTAAGAGCAGCCGGGTGTGGTGGCCCATGCCTGTAATCCCAGCACTTTGGGAGGCCGAGGCAGGCAGATCATGAGGTCAGGAGTTTGAGACCAGCTTGGCCAACATGGTGAAACCCCGTCTCTACTAAAAATACAAAAATTAGCCAGGCCTGTTGGCGGGCGCCTGTAATCCCAACTACTCGGGAGGCTGAGGCAGGAGAATTGCTTGAACCCGGGAGGCAGAGATTGCAGTGAGTCGAGATCGTGCCACTGCACTCCAGCCTAGGTGACAGAGCAAGACTCTATCTCAAAAAATAAAAAATAAATAAAAAATAAACTGCTAAGAGCAATTCTAGAAAGACGATGAAAGAAAGACAATGTGTGAAGTGATAGTGGCTGAAATTTCCCACAAAGAAAGGGAGCTCTCTAAACTGATATCTTAACGTGTCATAGTAAAACTTTAGAACATTAAAGATGAATAAGAAAAAAATCCTTACTCCTATTGAAGAAAGAAAAAAAAAGATTACCTGCAAAGGAACAATAGTAATATTGGCTGTAATAAGATAATGGAGCAGCATCTTCGTAGTGCTGAGGAAAAGTAACTGCCGACCTAGAATTTTATGCCCAGCTAAACTATTGCTCAAGAGTGAGGGGGAAAAGTTAAAATGCCAGAGACAAAGGACTCAAAGATTAACAATCATGAGTTCTTGCTGAAAGAACTTCTAAAGGATACACTCCAAGAAAAACCTTAAAAGAAATAAGCCTCAAAAAAAAAAGATGAACAAATTGGTAAAACATATTGATAAATCTGAATCAATTACTAATTGGAAATAAAATAAATTAGTAGAAAATCAGAGTAGAACTAATTCTAGAAGATCATACGAAGAGAAGGACAGAAGAGAGCATGGGTATGTGTTTGAGAGTGAGAGAGAGTACAAAGAAAATTGAAGGAGGTAACTCCTAGCAAAATAGAAATAGCATATACAGTTCAAAACAGTAGAAGTAGAGGGAAAAGAACAAAAAGAACCTTGAGGAGCACAATAAGAAGCAAAACTAAAGGGAAAAAGTATGTGGAGATACCATGATAATAGAAAACACAAGTCTGAACATCAATCATCAGTTATGCTCCATTTATAAAGATTTACACTTAAAATAAAATTACACCAATAAGTTACAAGGAAAGGGATAGGAAATGATGTACCAGGCAAATCTGTCATTTCTCGTCTGAAGTACTGGATTAGGCTCCAATCTGCTTTTCCTCCTCCTACTCCTGCTCACAGTGCTCCCCTAACCACTTCTCCAGTTGTTTGCCACTCAAAAGCCAAAGTGATCCTTCTAAAAAGTCAAGTTAAATGACTAGGCTTTGTTCAGAACTGTTTTTTCAAAATGCTCTTACAGAGGCCCAAAGGGCATTCAGTGATGTGGCCTTCCTAGGCTACCTCCCTGATCTCTTTGATGACCCTCCCACCTCAGTCACTCTAATCTACTCGTCTACTCAAACTGGCTGTGTTGCTGTTTCACAACACACCAATCACTTTTCCATTGGGGTTTGTACTCAGTCATTTCATTTAGATCTCGTTCAGATGTCATCTCCTAAGAGAAACTTTTTCTGACCACCCTCTCTAGAGTGTCACTTCTATCACTCTCTGATTGTTCCCCCTTTTTCTTTGTGACTCTGAAAACTATCTGGCATAATAGACATGTTATCAATTTATTGTCTGTCTTCTCACTAAAATGTAAACTTATTCAGGTCAAGAACTTGAACTTATTTGCATTCTATTCCCTAGAATGGTGCCTGGCACATTGTGGCACATTGTGGGTGTTAGTTCATATTTGTTAACTGGGCATTTTATATGATAGATAATATTATTCCATTTTTAAAAGAATAATATGCTGCAAGATTAAGTAACTGGTCCAAATTTTTATACTGGCAAGTTGTGGAGCTGGGATTAAATGAAATAATTGAATGAAATAAATACCAATAAAAATAAAACTGGTAAGCAGTGTTGATAATCAGAGGACATAGATTTCAGGGCAAAATGTATTTAAAAGAACATATAGAGGCCGGGCACAGTGACTCACGCCCGTAATCCCAGCACTTTGGGAGGCTGAGGTGAGCAGATCACCTGACGTCAGGAATTTGAGACCAGCCTGGCTAACATGGTGAAACCCCGTCTCTACTAAAAATACAAAAATTAGTCAGGCGTGGTGAAAATTAGTCAGGTGTGGTGGCAGGGACCTGTAATCCCAGCTCCTCGAGAGGCTGAGGCAGGAGAATTGCTTGACCTAACTTGGGAGACAGAGGTTGCAGTGAGCTGAGATCATGCCAGTGCACTCCAGCCTGGGCGACAGAGTGAGAGTCTGTCTCAAAAAAAAGAAAAAAAAAAAAGAACAAATAGAAATGCTTCATATGAATTAAGGCTCACTTCAGGAAGTTTTTAGCAGTAATGAGCTTGAATGTATCTGTAGTATAATTTCTGTATATTAATGGGAAAGAAAGCAAAGATTGACAGGACTCTAAGGGAAGAAGGAAAATCATGTTTATAGTAGGAGAATAACCACCAGAGCTAGAAGGCAAAATAATAAGAGAAAAAAATTTACTCAGTTAAGAGCTCAATCATAATAGCTACATGTTCTTTTTGTACATATAATACATGAATGAAAATAGACCATGCTCGAGGCCACAAAGGAACAAAGTTATGCAGAATATGTGTATTTAACAACAGCAGAGCTCCCAACAAATCAGTGAGATAAAGCTGTATAATTCGTGAGAAAAATAGGTAAATGATATGAATAGGTAATTCTCTAAAGATATACAAATGTCTAAAACTATAAAAAGATGCTAAACTTCACTAATAGTTAGGGACCTACAGATTTGCAGATTAAAAACACAGAATGGTACCATTTTTTATACCATCAAATAGTAAATAAATAAATAAATGCTGGTGATAATACTAGGTGTTGGCAAAGTTGTAGGTTAAGGAGTGCTCTTAAATGCCAGTTATGGATTTGTAAATAGCCATGACTGCACAAGGTAACTTGGCTTTATCTGTTAAAATTACACCTTATATTCTAAAATCTCCCACTTCACAGGCAATTCAAGGGAGGGAGACTCTGATTTAGTGCATCTGGATGGGATCAGGACTCCATAGCTTTAAAAATATCATAGGGAATTCTTACTGTGGAAGTTTAGGTAATACTTTAGTAGGCTGTTTTCTCCCACATTTAAAGGTGTTTTGAAAAAACAGTGGTTCTACTGAGTTAGCAGATTTAACAGGAAGATAAAAGTAATACAGTATTGGGAGAAGAAATCTGTATGTGTTTGTATACTATATATGTGTATGTGTATGTGTGTGTGTGTGTGTGTATATATATATACACACACACACACACACATATATATATAGAACTGATTGTGCTACCCCCTGCAAAAATCTTTTGAAGGAAGCCTTTCGACAGTAATCATCAAAGAGTACTCTCTTTTTTTCTATTTTGGTGCAATATATGCCATGTCTAAAATGTTAACCTATTGTTGGAAAACAGTATAATTACCTGGAACTTTGATTTTATAGTTGTGGGCAATTTACACAGCCTCTGAAGTATGTAATTGCTATAATAAGAGCAAAGAAGAAATGTAGAGACTTCATAGTTTTAAAGTCTGTTCAAAAACAAGGTAGTGGTTTTCCCGTTGCCTGTCAGGGCATCAATCAAATCCAAGCATACTAGCATAGAATTCAGGGTTCTTGTAATCTGGTCTCTCTACAACCTTAATCTTTGATTCCTCAAGATGAATTCTCTTCTATTAAAAGGTATATTCATTGTGCCTAACAAGCCCTCTGCTCCAACCTGAAGTGTACTCTCTCTTCTCATCTAAATGGGCTAAGTCCATAGCCCAGCTGAAGTCACAGCCCTTTGGGGAAGCCTATTCCATTCAGAACTACTGTGGCCTTTTAAAAACTTTTATCTTCCTTTTCATTCAACTCCTAATGCCATTTATGGTTTGTCCCTCTTATTTTGGTATTGTAATGCCTATTTTTGGCCTTGTTTTGTGTTTCATTGTAAAGTTATCTAACATTGGTCTGTCTTGTCTGCTTAGCTATAGTATAAGCTCCCTGAAAATTGCATTGTTTCTCTAGAGACTGGATAGAACATAGCAAATCTTAAGTAAAACATTTGCTGAATAAATAGATGAAACGTGTTTATTGTAGTAGACATAATGGGGTATCTTTTTCAACTTTATTTACTTTTTTGGTTTTGTTCATTTATTTTTGCAGTTTAGAGTGCTTATATCTTGGAGGAAATTTCATTAAAGAAATCCCACCAGAATTAGGAAATCTGCCTTCTCTGAATTACTTGGTATTATGTGACAACAAAATCCAAAGTGTACCTCCTCAGCTTTCACAGTGAGTAGTTCCAGGCATTTGTATATACACAGACATCTGTGCTTAGTAATTATTGTCTTGTATTCACTCACATGTTTTATATGTAGAGAAGAATTAGATATTCTCAAAGTAAGTGATACATGTTAATTATAGTTCTGAGGTTTGCTGCGAGCTGGGTTTTTAAAATTTCGCTTTTAAATGCTCTGGTTTATTCCTCAAAATATTATTCAATCTATTCTGTAATCAAAGAATTGAGCGTTAGCATTTATTTCCCTAGGTTTTATGGGACTTTTAGTGATTTTATATTTGATATGAAACATTTATATCCTAATTAGGCTTTATAATGTGAAGGATCTTAATTTCTGTTGCATTTGAAATCTTTCCTTTTTTAGTTATCTAAATGAAAAAGCATGCCCACTGCCCACCCCTAATCTTCAAATCTAGCTTTTATAGCAGTTAGCACATCAGAACACTCTCTAAGTATTCTAAATTCGCCAAGATTCTAAGGACAAAAGTCCATGACATTTACAAATCTGCACTTTGATCTAGTTTCAGCACCTTTTTGTTTTACTTCAGTTGACTCAAGTTCTGTATATACACATATATTCAATATTTTTGATAGTTATGTTGCTTACTGCCATTGGTTTTTATACTGCATTTATTCTAGGTTGCATTCACTTCGTTCCCTAAGTCTTCACAATAACTTGCTGACATATCTGCCGCGGGAGATCCTCAACCTTATTCATTTGGAAGAGTTGAGTTTACGAGGAAATCCATTGGTTGTTCGTTTTGTTAGAGATTTAACCTATGATCCTCCAACTCTCCTGGAATTAGCTGCACGGACCATTAAGATCCGAAATATTTCCTACACTCCCTATGATCTTCCTGGGAATCTTCTTAGATACTTGGGTTCAGCCAGCAATTGCCCAAACCCAAAATGTGGAGGTAAGTTAATTCAGTATTCATGTTTCCCACTCATTTAGCTCTTTTTAAAATTAATTAAGTCTAGAAGTCAGACAAAAGCTGTCTCTATTTCTGTTCCCTTTATTTTTTCACTCATTTATGAAAAAGACATTTCACTCTGGGTTTTTTTTAAGAATTATTTTTCATAATATTTTAGGATTCATACATAAGGAACATACCCGGGAAGTCTAATCCTGTCTTGTCACAAGATAATAAATCAAGATGGTAAAATGAGAGGAAACTCAAGGACGTATAAACAGTTCTAATTGTTTAAAAACTGTTCCTAAAATGTTTGGACACCTTTTATATTTATTTGAAGGATATTTTCTTAGACCCACCATTCCCTGTATCAGATTTAATAGGGTATGATTCAAGATGTATGAGAATGGGCTGAATGTGTGCCAGTTACAGATTGTACACAAAACTTTATGTTACTTTAAGTCCATGGTTCAAAATGTCTTGAGTTTAGAGCATTTGGAGAGAATTATGCAAATGATATAAGGCAGAGTCAGGTAAGTATCCCAAGGAATTCAAAATGCTTCTGGAAATCAAAGGAGGGGGAGAGTACATTTAATTAGATCTGGAAACAATGAGCTAATTATTGAGGTATGAATTAGATTTTGATAGGGTAAGATTGAGGATAGGAAATTTTTCAGATGGAGAATACAAAGTGGAGACGGAAGAGTATGGGGCAGACTGTTGGATGAGTAGTAATTTGCCCCAAATGTAAGGTTAGGGGAGTAATGAGAGTGGAAAGCTACGTTGAGTCCAGGTTGTGAAGAGCCTGAAGTGCCAGGGTGTGTGGGTGAGAATTACTGACTGATAGTAGGTCATTTTTTACTTTGGCTCCTTCATAAAAGACTACTTTTAAAAAATCCAGTAGGTACTGAGGAAATGCTGTGTAATGATGTTCAAAACCATGTGAGACTTTCTCTGGCAGTCCGATCTTGTCTTGAAGCTATTACAACATTAAAAGGGAGAAAATTATCAAATTATTCAAAGATTGTTAAAAGATAAAAAAGACACTTTGAGTTTAAAAAAGATAATGCTCTGGGTCATTTTTGGCCACCCACTCTTAGAAGTAGAGATTGCAGCACTGTGCCAAGTTCAAAGTGCTTACGCTTTTCTCTGTGATTCTCCATTCCTGAATTAGCTTTCACAGTGACAGAGGAAAACACATAGGGCAGCATTCACACCAGACCCTCAGGCCTGAAAGTCTAAATCTCTTCTTTGAATTCATGCTTTTCTGGAAATGGACCTCTACTGGAATTCTCTTTTCTCTCTTAAATATTTCCTTAATGACTTCTTTAGTATACTGGTGTGCCATTTATCTTAGGAACAAAAATGCTTTAAAAATTACCAGCTTAAGACCGAGTGTGGTGGCTCATGCCTGTCTGTAATTCCATCACTTTGGGAGGCTGAGGCAGGAGGATCTCCTAAGCCCAGGAGTTTGAGACCAGCCTAGGCAGCATAACGAGACCCCGTCTCTACAAAAAATAAAAACATTAGTTGGGCATAGTGGCATGTACCTGTGGTCCCAGCTACTCAGGAGGCTAAGGTAAGAGGATGGCTTGGGTCCAGGAGTTCAAGGCTCCCATGAGCTGTGATCATGTCACTGCACTCTAGCCTGGGTGACAGAGTGAAACCCTGTCTCTTTAAAAAAAAAAATTATCTGTTTAAAATTTGAGATAATCTGTTAGACATTTTCCCCCTCAAATTTGTTAGTTATTAAACTAACTTAAAAGTACTTTTATATTCTCAGAGATATTTTTCTCTTTGTATAATCTGAAATCTTATAAATCACAAGATAGTATTATACTGCTTTAGTTCATCGTATCTCCCATAATGCTTTTTCTTTCATCTGTTTTCGAGAAGCTAACTCATTTTGGGGGATTTATTATCGGTTTTTGATTGACCAACTTATTGAATGTATCTACTTTTGGGGGATTTATTATCAGTTTTTGATTGACCAACTTACTGAATGTATCTACTTTCCTAAATCATTCCAAGTAATATACCACAAATTTCCCCTTTTTTATATTTACTACAAGATCAAAAAAACTACATGGTTAGTTGAGATATCAGGAAAAAAAAATAGAAGTAGAATTCATTGTTTTTCCTTTGCTTGGACCACATCTTTTAATTTTAGTCCCTTATGTGATAAACACACAGTATTTGATGCCAGAAGAAACTTAGGCAGAGTATAGAGCTTGAGATTCCTCTCCAGAGAGGTGATTGGACCAAAATTCTAGATGTTCTGGTTATACTGCAACCATTGTGACAGTCTTTGTCTGTTAGAGATTTGCAGTGTCATTTTAAGGACCAACTAGAATCCAGAGGCACGGCAACATCTGCTTTCCTCTCGGCTCTAGCTCTGTTTTTACTTAACTAAAGGGCCACAGTCGAGGAGCACTAACCTAGGAATCAAAAGGGCCAGATATTACTTTCAGTTTACCTGAAGGTGTGTAATTGTATGAGAATCAAGTGAGATCATCAGTGAAACAGATCTGAGGCCTGAAGATTTACAGTCTTTGGAAATCTAAAATGACATTTTATTTCTTTCAATTTTGCCTTCCCAGTACATAAGAATAGGAGTACCAAAAGTCATCCCCTTTCTGAAAATTTTTTGTATACTAATTCTTTAAGATAATTATTAAAGGAGTTTTTATGTTGTTTTGTTTTAGTCTGTGACTGTAGGGTAGTACCAAGGGGGTGGCTTGGGTAATAGAGAAAAGGCACCTCAGGTATCCTAAAATCTCCATCAGCCATTGCCCCAAGTCTCCCAGAGAAAAGAAGCTAGGTACACACTGTCCTTTCTGTACCTGCTCCCTTTAAGATAAATTTCCTGTTTACCTCTTTACACCCAGATTCTACCTTTAAGACCTTCCAGGAGGCTTGTAGACAGCTATACGAGCAAGTACTGTTTCTGCTTAAGATTCATAACAGAAAATGGTATGTGAGGTTTCTCCAGAACACTGGAGAAAGGGCTGAAAAAGAAATTGGTTCCTTGCTTTGTAATGATTACTTTGTATTCCTTCTTCTCTTTAGGAGTCTACTTTGACTGCTGTGTCAGACAAATTAAATTTGTGGACTTCTGTGGGAAGTATCGCCTCCCACTGATGCACTACTTGTGTTCCCCAGAATGCTCTTCCCCTTGCAGTTCTGCCTCTCACAGCTCCACATCCCAGAGTGAATCTGACTCAGAAGATGAAGCTAGTGTTGCTGCACGCAGAATGCAGAAAGTTCTTCTTGGTTGAATAGGAGTGCACACTGGTGTGAAATACTTAAAAAACTGAGCAAAGGCGGTTAGATAAGAAAACAGAGCTTGAAGTTCACTGTTCACTAGAAACCTTATCTTCATCTTAAGTGTTCATGAAAGAGTCTGGGATGATATAAAACATCTTGTGTTTCATCTACCCATTCAGCAGGAATGAGTCCAGTCCCATGTTTGGATTCTTTTAACATAATTTATTATGAATGATAGTTCCACATTTGGCTGATGGTTTGCAGTTTTCACTCAAGTTTTGCCTGAATCAGAAAGCAGAATGGTACCTTTTGAAGAGCAGTTCTACAATAAGCCATAAGTAGTATACCTTTTGGCAGTTGAGATGGAGAAAGTGAGAAATAATCAAAGCTATAATTGCCAGAGTTGCCCTTGGGTTTACGTAGAACACTATATACCATATATACTATATGTGCCATATATATATGTATTATATGCCATAAACAGGAATAACCCTCCCTTTTTTTATTGCCTGTATGTCTAGATTAGTTCAGAGAAGCTCACAGATGGTTACATAGGATGTAAACCTTTCTGACAAACTAACTGGTGAAGTAAGGCATATAACGGTTAAGTGGGATATTAAAACTTTTTCATTCTTTTCCTTTGTTCTATAGGATTGCTATTAACCTTATATAATCTAGCAATGATTGTTATAGTGCCTTAATCCAGCAAGGATATAAAAATGTATTCAAGAAATAATGCCAGAGCAACATATAACCTGACATACCATGCAGAACATTTAAAAATATTCTTTAGCAGAACTAGGTAAATAACTGTATATCTGATATCCATGGCCCTCTTAATACTTTGTGCACTCATCCCTTATAAGCACATTACTTTTACACTTAATGGTAGGCCATAGTCTTGATCAGTCTGGTCATCATAAGACAGAGTAAGAATTTTTAACAAAAAATTCTAAAAGAGATATAAGCTAGGAAAGCTTCTGTATATCTTGCATTAAATGGGTAGGGAAAAAATATGACTCTTGCCCATGTCACGTACTGGACCATCTTTCTCTACTTTTTAAAGAAAAACTAATAAAACTAGAAAAACATCACAACAAGCCAAATAAAAATGGGGAAAAGTTGTCATTGTCCTTATACCTAATAAAACAGTTTCCAGAACTACTTTAACTATGGAAGCATTTTCAAAAATAAAGTAGTAATAAAATAGAAAAAACTTATTAATATATTATATCCTTAATGTATAGCAGGAAAATAGTTTCACAAATTAATTGCTATTAGAAATTACCAAATTTTTATTAACTAGTTTAATATGCAATACAAATTGAATTTTAAGTACAATTTAAGTACAATATAAGTTGATATAAAGTAAATGCTTACTGGTAATCATTAAATAACTAATAACATCACTTGTTAAATGTTAAACATGCAGTAAGAAATGTCAAATATACAGGTCAGATAGGCATTAGAACATCAGGTGATACCTTTTCTGATTTCTGGCATTCATGGCACACCATTTCTTAAAAGCAGATTGTTGTATAATAACATATACATGTATTAGGGTTTTTTTCATATATATATTTTTTATTTTAGAAGAAACTAGCATAATTTAGGATTTATGTGTTTATTTGTATATTAATTCATGAAACATGAGAGTTTCATGAACTGCAGATGTGAAACGCTGCTATAGAATGAATCCCTTTACCTTTACCCTGTTATAATGTAGTAAGATTTTGTTTTCCTTTTGATTCAGAAATTTTCTGTGTCTATAGAAGTAATCTAATATGTTCCTACTGGCTAGAAGAGTAATACATGGGTGATTATATCACAAAATAGAGGTATAAAGAATAGAGGTATAAAGTCTTTGCTTACTTCTCCATGTGAGCCACAGCAAACTGCAGAGTGTACAATTATGAAAGGTAAAGATGACTTAGGCTGTGCCTAAGTGACAAATGTAAAATGTTTTGTAAATAAGTGACTTAGTTAAGATACATAAGATATTTTCATAGAAAATGATGTATTCATAGTAAAATACTCGAATTGATAGGACCAACTTTTTTTGGCCTGAATGCTTATGCCTACTTCCTAATCAATTACCAACTTGACTTGAGCAACTGCTTGAGTAGTCTTCTAAGAGTTAGTCTTCGTAAAATAAATGGATAGGTATGTAAATATATAATCTTACATAGCCTTTCCAACTTTCTAGAAAGAAGGTCTACTGCTTCATCTTTTACAGATGTAAATAGGTCCAACCAGAGAGTTTCTGGCCTTTGCATATAAGAATATAGATGTATATCACAGTATTATTTCAACAAAATGTTATGGTTCTATGTATAGTTGAAAAATCTATGATCAGTGTACCGTTGTCTTTTGGTAATTTTTAATGAAGTATATGTTTAGCTGTTGGTTTTATCTTTCGTAAATCTTTGACCTAACGTTTTGTAAGAGCAGCTAATAATTTCTAAGATTTTCCGTTTCTTTTTCCTACCTTTCCTTTTCTCGTAACTGATTAGGGAAATTAACCAGAAGTCAGATACAAGGGACTCAATAATCTAGAAACCAGATAATCAGCTCCCAAATCATATAGCTAACTATGTATTTAAAATAACAGTCTGTCACTTTAGTTCCTAAGTCATATACTTGTGTTTAATTACGGTAAATAATCTTTAATTGGGGTTTTTAAAAGACAGAATTAGCGAAGTCTAATTTTTATAATGAAATAAGTTTTTGATGTTGCTCTACTTGGACAATTTTAGTGACCAAAACTACAGATAAAACTGCTTAAGCATAACGTTAACATATTTAGAATGGCATTCTTCAATACTAGTATTTTAAATTGGAATTAGTACACTGTGCATTCTTAGTAGTCTTTATCCCTAGAATCAATTCTCTCAGCATCACCAAACTGAGTTGGTGAAATAAGTGCTAAGATTCTGGGCAATAGGAAGATTAGTGAATATGATACATGGATTCCAGGGTGCCAGGGATTGGCTGACTAATATTAAGGACCAGCTGGCCAGGGTCCTCAGTATTCTAGTATTTGAGTAGTGGAGGTAAATCCAAAGGCGACTGGTCATATTTTACTTCTGAATGTGTGCTGAAGTGTCTTTTGTTAAAAAATTCTTGATATTTAGAACTTCAGGTTACCACATTTAAAAGTAAAGACTTAGCTGGACACGGTGGCACACACCTGTAATCTTAGCACTTTGGGAGGCCGAAGTGGGTGGATCATATGCAGTCAGGAATTTGCAACCAGCCTGGCCAGCATGGTGAAACCTCATCTTTACTAAAAATACAAAAATTAGCTGGCATGGTGACGCATGCCCATAGTCCCAGCTAACTCTGGAGGCTAATACAAGAGAATCACTTGAACTTGGAAGACAGAGGTTGCAGTGATCTGAGATCACTGTGCTGCACTCCAGCCTGAGTGAGAGTGAGACTCTGTCTCAAACAAAAAAAAAAAAGATTTGCATTGTAAATTGTACCTCAATTTGAGAAGTTTTTGTGTTTGTGTAAATAAAAGTAAAAAGCAATCCACAATAATGTTTTGTAATAGTGCACACCAGTTTTACCAGATTTTGTAACTATTAGATTTAAACAAGAAAAGAGAAGGAAGAGGCTGATTGCTGGAGTGTTTTAGAAGCCACAGGGCTAGAAGAGAAGTCACCAAACACCTAGGGACAGTCCTAGGCCAAGAAAGCCCTTTAAAGTAATAGTGAATTGTTTTAAAATGAAGTTATTGAGTGGCCTACTGACTACCATCCAAAAACCTTTATCACCAAATTTGTTCAGTGTTTGCTATTGGGAGATCATCCATATCCCTCCATAATTAAGGGCCAGCAAGTAATAGGATCTTCTTACAGCCAACCTTGCTGTTCCCAAAGGGAGAAAGTAATACGTCATTAACCTGGAATTGTGGTATAACAGGTAGCCTTGGTTAATGTTTTACCTTTTCACTATGTTAAAAAGAAAAAACAGTAAGCAAATAGTGCAAATAAAACTTGATCTTTTAAAGCATTTTAGCAGTTGCTATTTATGTAAAAAGTTAATGGTTATTATTCCTAAATTTTCATAAGACCCTTGGTAGACAAAACTATCAGTTATAGTATGTATATATAAGGTTAGTTAAGCTGCATTTAGTTAGGAACATTTAATTTTTTACCTAAATGATTCTTTTTTTATCCAAAAGTAGAGATTTTATTATGTCATTATAAATATTACTCTCCATTTAGTCCAAAATAGTGGGCTTTTTAAGTTGTGCCAGGTACTTAACAATAGTAAAAGCTACTGTATAGATTTTTATGCAATGTGACCTATAAGGCATAGTTCTGATTCCTTCTATATTGAATGTCCCTGTTTCCATATTAAGTGTTATGCCCTGTATAACATTAATGAATTTAATAGTGTACAATTTGGGGCCAGGCGTGGTGGCTCACACCTGTAATCCTGGCGCTTTGGGAGGCAGAGGCAGGCAGATCACCTGAGGTCAGGAGTTTGAGATCCGCCTGGCCAACATGGCAAAATCATGTCTCTACTAAAAATACAAAAATTAGCCGGGTGTGGTGGCGTATGCCTGTAGTCACAGCTACTCAGGAGCCTGAGGCAGGAGAATCGCTTGAACCCAGGAGGCGGAGGTTGCAGTGAGCTGAGATTGCGCCATTGCACTCCAGCCTGGGTGACAGAGCAAGACTCGATATCCCAAAAATAAAAATAAAAATAAAAGATTATGTGCAATTTTGTATTTTCATAGTCATATCTTTTTAAAGGTATCAGTGATTTCAGTTGTGGTCAGGAAGTATGTGCCTTAAATCCTCTACTCTAGACCCAAAGTTTGGAGATCTGTATTATTTAATAAGTTGTTTGTGACAACGTTGTTACCTTTTTCATTTGCTTGAGGGAAAAAGACTGTGATCCTGAAAGATTCCTTCTCATAAAATGGCCTAATGTGTATTAGTCTAGGACTTCTGGGGAGGGAACCTCTACCATGCATTCTGTCCCAGAATGTCAAAGCCATAAGAATCAGGGTCCCCTGAAATAAAATCACTGAAAAGATACGTTCTCTTATATATTATTTTAAAAATTTATCTGGTGCCACCAAAGAATGACAGCAGTTTCCAACCAACTTCATATTTATAGCATCATATGAAGATATGGTAAGGCTTAGCGTATTTTGCCACTGGTTTTCTTTGTAATATAGGTTGAAAGTGAGATGTTTGAATACTTTTATATGTGAATATCTCCCATTCTTTTTCTATCTCCCTTGGTCTATATTTACTAATAATTGTTATTAAAAAAAACAGTTCACTAATGAACTCTGCATATTATTGAACACTCATAGGGCAATATTGATTTGGGTGCTACCAGACTTTTACCTAACATTAGTCTTTCTCAGTAGTTGTTGTAAAGGACAGTATTCAGTCCAGTAAATATTAAAGTATATTATATTAGTTTAATGAAGGTTATTTATATACTGTCATACCACAAAACTATGGTGGAAAGAGCATCTGCATTCACCAGAATGTACTTGTTCCTTTGACTGTGAATAAATTGGATAAGACTTTTTAATTGTAAGTTCCAGCTATTGGAAGATGTGGGGATAAGATTGACATTGCTGTTGCAGTATTGCAAAAACGACTAAATTGGTTAATTATGTCTACCACTTATGTTTAAGAGAATCCTTTCACTAACTTAAATTGTTAACATTGTGATATTGAGAAAGAGTATTAACCTAAACAGTCACTTTACAACAATCATGTAAAGATGTGTGTGCTTGCAGTTGAGGTTTTTTTTGCATTTCTGAGCCCACTTTGTATTCATGAGAAACAAAAACATAACGGGAGAAAAGTTTTAAATAACCAGCATTGTAAGTTTTTGTAAAGTTTGGGATGTCAAAGTATTAACGAAGGATACTGAAAACATACTTTTACTTTGGTCAAATTACTTTTTATGATCTGATTTCTTAATTTTCTGTATTTGAAATCTTGCGAATTTGGAGTATCTACATCTGTAGATAAATAGATAACTAAAACTTAATGGTAGAAATAAGTGTAATTCAGCAACATGATTCAACAGTTTTTATTTTTAGGATAAGTTACCATTTATTATATTAATATCAAATTTATATATTGCCTTGTAATGCTAGATGTTCTTAAAAGAATATTTGGGCTACTTCAATTCTACCACCTTCTTTCCCTTCCCCCAGGACATACAAAAGATCTTATATTAGCCAATCCTCTATGTGAATTTTGCCATATCAAGCATTGTGCCTTATTTTAATAAAACTGTTTTGTTGGAATCCATTTCTATATTAAAGTCTCTATAATGTTGATATTTGCCTGATTACTTGTTATATCATTGAATACATACATTAAGTATGTACTAACATTGACTCTCTGTTCTAGATGCAATGGATAAGATAAATTAGACTTGTTTACTAGTCTTCCTTCTGCTTCCACAGTCTCAATAGACTTACGGATGCATGCTCTAATAAGAAATTGGTGACATCATCCTGCTGACTAAGGCCAGTTATTTCTTGCATTTAGTACAGAATCACACAGTCTTAACCCAGAGTAATATAGTTCTAACTGAGCACATTGACATAGCACTTCATATCAATATTTTATAGTGCCATTAGTTTGGTGACATTAGAACACCTAACATTTTTCTAGATTCCAGGATATGGAAAAATGCTGTGGTTATGAGCTGGTTTAAATAGAGTGGATAGCAAGGACATGTACTTTGTAAAACAGCTAATGTTTCAAATGTGCTAAGATGGAAGAAACTCAGCATTTCCCTGGTTAATATATAGGATGGTTTGGCTGTGTCGCCACCCAAATCTCATCTTGAATTGTAGCTTCCATAATCCCACGTGTGGTGGGAGGGACCCAGTGGGAGGTAATTGAATCATGGGGTGGGTTTTCCCATGCTATTCTTGTGATGGTGAATAAGTCTCATGAGATCCGATGGTTGTGAAAAGGGCAGTTCTCCTGCACAAGCCTGCTGCCACATAAGACGTTCCTTTCCTCCTCCTTTGCTTTCCACCGTGATTGTGAGGCCTCCCCAGCCATGTGGAACTGTGAGTCCATTAAACCTCTTTTTCTTTATAAATGACTCAGTCTTGGGTATTTCTTCATAGCAGTATGAAAATGGACTAACACAGATGACTTCTTGGCAAAGACGGCCCAAGAAATTTGAGGGAGAAGAGAAAACACATAGAGTGTAATTCTGATCTCTTTCCTTTTTTTTTTGAGACGGAGTTTCGCTCTTGTTGCCCAGGCTGGAGTGCAATGGTCTGATCTTGGCTCACTGCAACCTCCGCCTCCCAGGTTCAAGTGATTCTTCTGCCTCAGCCTCCTGAGTAGCTGGGATTAGAGGCATGCACCACCACGTCCAGCTACTTTTGTATTTTTAGTAGAGACGGGGTTTCTCCAGGTTGGTCAGGCTGGTGTTGGACTCCCGACCTCAGGTGATCCACCCACCTCAGCCGCCAAGCTGAGTGCAGTGGTGCAATCTTGGCTCACTGCAACCTCCACCTCCCAGGTTCAAGCGATTCTCCTGCCTCAGCCTCCCAAGTAGCTGGGATTACAGGCATGTGCCACCAAGCCTGGCTAATTTTGTATTTTTAGTAGAGATGAGGTTACTCCACGTTGGTCAAGCTGGTCTCGAACTCCTGACCTCAGGTGATCTGCCCACCTCGGCCTCCCAAAGTGCTAGGATTACAGGCGTGAGCCACCGTGCACAGCTGAAGGAAGTATTTTCTAAGGTTCTGGTGATTTGTGCTAGCCATATTAGACGTGCAGATAACTTTTAAATTGTTTATGTCAGCAGAGAAGCATAGTGACATTAAGACGTGCGCTCATTACCCATTATATTATTTTTGTACCTTGGTCTGGCTCTAAAATCTTGCTGCTCTTACTTTCTCCCAATCCACAATTCTTCCCACGACTATAAACGTCAAGGCACACAGGAGTTGTTAGGGACAAACTTCCCCAAGAAAGCTTCTTGGTGCTGCCCACCCTTCGCCCAAGTCTCTCTACATTTCTAAGCCCTTGTCTAGGTGCCGCAGTGAAGCCAGCAGACTTCACTTATCAGACCTTGCTGCAATAAGCAAACCCCAATTACAAACCATCTGGACCGCACAGGGGGAAGTTGTGGGAAGCATAAACTACGTACACCCTCCTGTAATAAATGTCACAAGGTGATATGTGGCAAAATTAACCAGCAAACAACCCCGGGATGTGGCTGTACCAAAGAGCTCCCTCAAACTTCCCTCCACAATATAAACCCCTCATTCTATAAGCTTGGGGCTGCCTCCTCTGTCTGTGGTGGAGCAGCCGGCAGGTTAATAAACTTCCTTGCCTGACCTTGAGTCTCTCTCTCATCCTTTCTCTCGGCTAACCTTACAGGAGTCGCACTTCCAATAGTTCCTACCTTTTAAGTGTTTGTGCAACAACCATGAAGAGAAAGTGAGAGAACAACAGAATCAGCTTTATGTAATTGAAACATAAATCCAATAATATAAGGAATGGACATTAAGCTGTGATAAGTTGAGAAAATGAAATTCTTGACTTTCAACTTTGTGAAGCTTTCAACTTCAACACTAAGAAGCAGCCAGACTAGTGTAGTTGATGTATCCCAGAGGAGGAAAGAAAGACAGGGTACTTCCCAGCCATTCTTGCTGAGTGTACCATGGTTGCCCCAGCGAGGAAAGTTGGTGATTAATACCTGAACCACAGTGAAGTTATATATGCATATGATTGTAAATTGCCACATAAATGTATGCATACATGTTAATTATAAACTTATCCCAAAGAGAAGATTCACTCTTTTATTTATTCTTTGTGATCTTTATGAATTCTCAGGTAACATAATCTTTTCAAGGTACTACTAAGGAAAGGAACTTGAACTGGGTCAAATCAATATTTACATTAAGATAAAACAAAATCATTTATGCAGTCCCATGAGCACATACTACACACATACATACTACACACAGAAAGTATGACCAAAGATTGATGTGTGGTCATTGTACATAAAATTAATGAGCCTGTTACCCTGATGGGGTGATTTTCTGTACATGTCCTTTAGCCCCAGGTAGCCAGCATCTAATCTCTTTTGTTATGTAACAGTGAGAACCAAGACAAGATGAAGTAATCATATGCTAACAGATCCAGAAATACAAGCCCTACAGGTGCACAACCCAATAAAACTACGCTGTTAGAAAGGTTAGAAGGTCATGTTAGATGCAGATGTTGATTAAAGGAAATCCCTTGGTACTAAAAACCAATCTTTAAAAGATGGCAGCATCACTGAAGATTTTTGGTACTGTTATATTGATTTCCTGCATTTTCTTCTTCTCTTATTTTCTGTCCCCTCTCACTCTGCCTTTTTTTAATCTTCTTTTCCTCTTTTTTATTATGATAATGATGTATAAGTGACAGAATTAAACATAGAGGACACAAGAAGCAGTCTTGTCTTGGGGCTTAGTAAGTAGTTGAGAACTTGAACACTAAGAAGACAGCAATTTAAACATAGTTTCCTTCCCTCCAACTAGTGACTCCAATCTTTAATCAAAAGACAGCTAAGACTTGTGGATTTATGAATAAATATAAGGCTGTGGGCTTTCAATGAGTCGTAGAGGAAAGGGTACCAGGATCCCCCACCAAAGCCTACAACATACACCATCATTGGAAATCAGGGCAAGAACAAACCAGTAGATCCAGGGAAAACTTCGCTCTCTCTTAGGATCTTACGGATCCTAAGGGTAAAGGTTGATTTCACCCCCACATGAATATGTGACTTCTGGTTCTAAAAAGACAAAAGGAACTGAATGGTGGCCCTTGTTCTCCCTACCTCTGAGAGGATTTACGAAGAGCAGGGAGCCGGGTGTCTTCCTCCCAGCTTCAGTAGAAGACTGAAGCTTATCTCTACACAGTGAGTTCAAACAGAGGAGACCACTTTGCCTTCCATCACATCTATTGTAGTAGGACGAGCAGCAGATAAAACCCCTCAGACACCAAGTTGAGGAAGGAAAGGGCTTTATTCAGCTGGGAGCGTCAGCAGACTTACATCTCAAAAAACCAAGCTCCCCAAATGAGCAATTCCTGTCCCTTTTAAGGGCTTACAACTCTAAGGGGGTCTGAGTGAGAGGGTCGTGATCGATTGAGCAAGCAGAGGGTATGTGACTGGGGGCTACATGCACTGGGAATCAGAACGGAACAGAACAGGACAGGGATTTTCATGATGCTTTTCCATACAATGTCTGGAATCTGTAGATAACACAAGCAGTTAAGTCAGGAGTCGATTTTTAACTACTAGGTCCAGGGCGTGGTGCCGGGCTGTCTGCCTGTGGATTTCATTTCTGCCTTTTAGTTTTTACTTCTTTTTTCTTTGGAGGCAGAAATTAGGCATAAGACAATATGAGGGGTGGTCTCCTCCCTTACTATGACTCCTGCTTCTCAGGATACTCCACAACAAACCTTGAGCCCAACTGAGTCAACAAAAGAAAAAACAATATATTAATATCTAAAAGGAAAAAAAAGAAAGATTTTCCAACTTAAAATTCCTTACATCAGTGAAGGGAGATGATCACTGTTGAGACCCAAATCAGTGGGCTAGACGATCAAATGGGGAAAATAGCTTAGAATAAGGAGGAAAGATATAAAATATAAAAGGAAAATATCTTGGGCCCCCAAAATCACTAAGGAAAACTCAAGCTGGAAACTGCTTAGGGCAAACCTGCCTCCCATTTTATTCAAAGTCACTCATCTGCTCACTGAGATAGATGCATATCTGACTTACCTCCTTTGGAAAGGCTAATCAGAAACTCAGAAAAATGTAACTATTTGTGTATCACCTATCTGTGTCCTGGAAGCTCCCTCCCTGCTTCCTGCCTTTATTTCAAGTTGTCCTGCCTTTCCAGACTGAACCAATGTATTTCTTACCTACATTGATTGATGTCTCATGTCTCCCCAAATGTATGAAAGCAACCTTTGCCCTGACCACTGTGGGCACGTGTCACCAGGACTTCCTGAGGCTGTGTCATGGCACATCCTCAACTTTGGCAAAATAAACTTTCTAAATTAACTGAGACCTGTCTCAGATTTTCTGGGCTCACATTTTGGTAACCACGGGGGGATTCTGAGTGAAGATGCCCCTGACCTTTGACATATCTGTCGGTGCTTGGTACCAGCATGAGCTAACTTTATGGCTCAAACCAATAGGAAAATTTGCTGAGGTCTGAGAGCACCCTTTCCAGAGAATCTCTGATCTCCCAAAATTTGGTAGAGATCTAAAGTTTATTTTGCTGTACAACTCCTCTTTTATTGG